GTTGTTGGAGTCGTCTGACTGCAAGTTCAAAGTCCTAAGACTGACTTTATTCCCTGGGTGCCGTGGTGTCAGCATCAACGAGGACCGTCCTCTGTGTTCAGTGAAGAAAAACTTGATGGACATAAACAAGCTCAGCCGCCCAAAGTTCTTGGGAGATTTTAGTTGACATTTAACCAGGCAAATTCATTTAGGCATGTAAAAAGAAATTATAGAACATTCTCCCTTTTTGTGGATGAAAAAGAAGTTTGGCATGTTTTTTTGTGTCCTGTTTCTTCCTCCTGATCATGTCCTGTGCTGCCTCGTAGTATTTTTTTTTAAGTTTATAGTAAGTAAAAAGAGGAGAAAATAAATCTGTGCTGAAGGACATTTCTGGAATATCTGTATATCTCAGGTCATACCGGTTCTTACACACAGGAGCTAATTGAAAGCCACTAGCATTGGAAACTGCCCTAAAGATCACCTGCCGGAAGAGCCTCCATTCATAAGGAAGAACCCGAGTGGTTAAGTGACTGTTCGCTGGCCACTCAGTTCGTGACTTGAACTCAGCACCGTGGTCCTTCATTTATGTACTGCCATTGTGTGGCTTCACCTGTAGCAGGCCTTTCCCCTGAAGAGGCGGAAGGGAATGCTTACATCATCTCTGTTCATGATGTTTAGAGTGAATACTGAATTTAGTGGATGCAGAACCCGATTGTACTGCTGTAAGACACAGGCCAGGAGTGGTTTCCTAGCAGAAACTAAGGACCAGGCCAAATATGGATGTTTGAGAGGGAGAAAAAAAATTAATTTTAAATTTTGTTTTTATTATGAGAGAGAGAGAGAGAGAGAGAGAGAGAGAGAGAGAGAGAGGAAGTAAGGGAGCCTGCAAGAGGCTTAGACTGCTGGAGGCATCAGATTCCCTAGATCTGGAGTCACAAGTGGTTGTGAGCTGACGTGAGTGCTGGGGACTGAGCTCCCATCTTCTGGATCTTCTGTAAGAACTTACACGCTATTAGCCTGAGCCATCTCCCCAGGCAGAAAACATTTTAAGTAGGGCTATGGTTAGATTTTGAGTTTATTTTAGTCATTTCTTTTGAGACTCTCATTTAGACGCAGTTGGCCCTCAAGCTCAACCATATATATGAGGATGACCTCGGAAGTCCTTGGTACTAGAATCACAGGTGAGAGCCACCATACCAAGTTTATATGGTGTTGGGATCAAACCCAGGGCTTCAAGTTTGCTAGGCAAGCCCTCTACCAACTAACTGAGCTACGTCTTCGGCCCAATTTTTTGTTTTTGCCTTTGTTTTTAAACATAGTCATCTACATGAATAAGTTTAAACAAATATACATTTTAAGAATCATTCAGTCTTTTGGTTCCCAAAAGAAAAGAAATAGTCTTCTTTGTGACACAATTGTGTATATTTTTTTTTGTTTTCATAAAAATATTTGAATCTAAAAAAGTACTACAAATACAAAATACTTAGGAAAAACTGAAGCACAATTCCTCACCGTGTTCTACTTCAAACTGTACGCGTGAAGGTTAGGGATCAATGGGAGGAAACAGCTAATTTTTTCTTCAGCAACAGCTCTCAGACAATGGTTTGAAGCCATGTGATGATGGGCGCACTCGTTAGCTTCCTACCAGCTCATAAACATTGCCTGTCTGTTTCCTTCGTGGATAAATTTAACCTTACGCTCAGCCTCCGTGTCTCCAGTGCTGTCCTGTTTGCAGAGCAATAATCAGACACAGGTTTTTGACACCTTGTGACTTACAGGATATCTCTCGGCAGACAGACATGTGCATTAGCGACCCATTTTCCCAGTGTTATTTCTGGACTGTGTACAGGAACTGATGGTGCCATGGAGTACACGGCTCTTTATTCTGGCTTCTGAGCAATAGACATGCATGGAGCCACTTATTTCTGTGGTGTTTGGCAGAAGGAAACAGAACTGCAAGACAAGGTTGAAAAGAAGCAGCCATTGTGAGTTGAGAATGAATTGACGTTCGTGTAGTGTCTTTGCTGTTTGCATATCTCGTATTACAGATAAATACCCACTACCACCCAGCAAGCATGTCACTGTGAGTGAAGAGTAAACAGACATCCCAGAAGTGTCTTTGCTCTCTGTGTATCTAACAGTAAACATAAAAGGTCAGGAGCTGGAGAGGTGGCTCAGCGATTAAGAGCACTGGCTGCCCTTCCAGAGAACCCAGGTTCGAATCCCAGTACCCATCTGGCAGCTCACAACTGTCTGTAACTCCCGTCCCAAGGGGCCAAACATCCTCTTCTGATTTCTGCTGGCATCAAGCAGGCATGTGATACACAGACATACATGCAGGTAAAACATCTATATGCATAAAAATAAATTTTTAAGGGATCAGATGCCACCCATATCTGAAATATAGAAAAACAGTAGTATATATCTGAATTACACACACACACACACACACACACACACACACACACACACACACACGGTTCTCTGTCATTCCTACTTGTAAGCCCAGCATAATGATGTCAAGTTTTATCTATTTATTTTATTATGTAGACTGTGCAATACATTTAGTATATATATGTGTGTGTGTGTGTGTGTGTGTGTGTGTATCATATATATGTATATATATGATACACACACACACACACACACACACATACTGTATTGGGTGGGTTGAGGGAAAAGAAACTCAAACATAACCATCAACCAACTTCAATGACTATCAACTCAACCAGTTCTATCTCTGTCCCCCTCCACTGAGAACATCAAACCAAACTCTGCTCTTTAAGCTCTTTTATCCTTGTATTTGCCCATAAATGCTAAGATTTTAAATAAAACAATACTACATTACACCAAAAACATAGACAATGTCTGGAGAGATGACTTGGTGGTTAAGAGCTCTGGCTGCTCTTCCAGAGGATCGAAGTTCAGATGTCAGTACCCCAACTCCATAGGACCCAACACCTGCGCCCGGCCTGGGTGAGCAACCGCGCACAGAGAGACATACGTGTATACCTAAGATAATAATAAAACAAATCTGAAAAACTAAAAGTCAGACAATAGTAATTTAATATCACTAAACACACAATTACCCTCAAGTTTTCTGAAATCTATACCTGACTTTGTTTCCTTTTAAAGGTTTTGTTGTTGTTTTGTGACAGGGTTCCTCTGTAGCTTTAGAGCCTGTCCTGGAACTAGCTCTTCTAGACCAGGCTGGCCTCGAACTCACAGAGATCTGCCGCAGAACCACCTGTCCCAGGTGGCACCATCCCCAGTGTAACACCCCACATACATTAATTATTAATCAAGAAAATGTCCCACAGATTTGCCTACAGACCAGTATGATGGAGGCACTTCTCAGTTGAAGTTCTCTTGTCATGTTGACAAAAAGTCTCTAGCATGCCTGAAGTTTCTAATTCATACTCCCTCTCTCTCGCTTGCTCACTGTGTGTCCATACGTACATAAATATATACATACACACATATGTATACATATGTGTATATGTATATACACATATGTATGTATATATAAAGCGAAATAGTTTTAATTATTTGAGAATTTCTTTTTAGATTTTTTTTATCTCTGTGTATGGGTGTTTTGCCTACATATATGTCTGTGTACCACTTGTGTACCTAATTAGCGGAACTAGAGTTAAAGACTATTGTGAGCTACCCTGTGTGCTGACAATCAAACCCAGGTCCTCTGGAAAAACAGCCAGGGGCTTTAATCACTGAACCATCTCTGCAGCCCTCTTTGAGTATTCCATGCATGTATACAATGTATTTTGATTATATCTACACCAACTTTACATAGGTACCCCTCCATAGCATGTCCCTTCCCCAACTTAGTGTCCTCTTCCTTTTAAATGAAAGAGAATTACAATAACCCACTGATTCAAATTGGTACCATCTGTATGGGTGTGGAGCTACCCACTGGGGCATAGGCAACCTACCAGCGGCTACCCACCCATCCCCAGCCCTCAAATGACTCTTCCCTGGCAGCCGTCAACTGCTGTTAGCTCAGCAGCCAGGAGTGGGGCGTGTGAGACCCTCCCCAATCACTGGCCCCCACAACTGATACGCAACGTGTTTTTGTTTGGGGTTTTTGTTTGTTTGCTTGCTTTGCTCTTCTGAGACAGTGTCTCATTGTGCAGCCCTAGAAAGCCTGGAACCCCCTGTGTAGACCAGGCTAGCCTCAAACTCACAGCTGTCCCCTTGATGCTGCTTCCGGAGCGTGCATCGCCATGGATCTTTTGTGGGGTCTTGGAATTCGCATCTCTAATATTTCTAGCATTTCCTGCCCTTTCTGATCTGAGACTATATTTTAAGAATGATTTTGAGGGAGCTGAGGGGCATTCCTTTTCATTGCAGCACTTGGGAGGCAGAGGCAGGGCTGATCTACATCAGTGGCTCTCCATGCGTGGGTTACAACCCCTTTGGGGGTCAAAAACCCTTCACAGGAGTCAGCTGAGGCCACCGGAAACTCATTTCCGTTATGATTCGTGACAGTAGCAAAATGACAGTTATGAAGTAGCAATGAAATAATTTTATGGTTGGAGGTCACCACGACATGAGGAACTGTATTAAAGGGTGGCAGCATTAGAAAGATGGAGAACCACTGATCTAAGGCTAGCTATACAGTGAGACTCTATCTCAAAAAAACAAACAAACAAACAAAAAGAAAAAAGGAGGGTTGTCAGATGAGCTGGAGAGTTGCTTCGGCCATTAAGAACACTGGCTACTCTTTGAGAAGACTCAGGTTTGATTCCCAGCTCCCAAGTGGCAGGCCACAAGCATCTATAACTCCAGTTCCAGGGGAACCAACATCCTCTGCTGGTTTCTGAGGCCCCAGGCACTCACAAGGTACACAGACATACATTCAGACAAAATACCTATAATACACATAATTTTTATGACTATCATTTAGACTTAAAGTTTAGGAAAACATATCAAGCTTTGTTCGGATTAAAAACCAGTATAGTACATAATATCATCTTTATTCTATTAAGATTTATTTTAAATGACAGATCTGTGATACAGAAAGCAGTCTAAAGCTAGGCCATCTTGATTATATTGAAGTTATCTGCAAAATAAAAAGCAAACACAAAATTATAAAATTGATTTGTTTCTGTTATAAATGTCTTCATTAGGCAACCATTAAAATTGAGAAGAAATAATGTTGCAAATCTGTTTATTGCCTTCTTGGAAGGAAAAACAAAGTTCTTTACCTCCCTTTGACTTCTAATTCAAATTCTGCATACTAAATACTTGCCTCCCTCCCTGCCAAAACCAACTAGATTGACTTACTAGGTAGGAAGCTGGATTAAGTGTCATTTAAGTAATATATAAATGTAGACGTTGATTCCAGTGGTTGGTCACATAAGAAGACACTAAGCCCTGAAGAGGAGCCACGAGGAGACAGATTGCAAGGGGCCTATGTCTCGTCTTTGTCCTCTTCTTAGTTTAAATCCCACTGACCTGACAACATTAGGTTCCCCGTTATTTAGACATGCAGCCCATTGACCATCCTGGGCTGCTGGACTGGATGCGTCTTGACTTCACATCAAGGCAGAGCTCACAGCACTTCATGTCCCGGTGATAAAGTTCATCGCCACTGCCATTTTACAGCGGCAGAGTAGAAATGAGAACCACGAAAGCTTGAGTCCCATCACTTGAGTCCCAGTAGCCTGGGTTCCAGCTTGGGTTGAAAGCAGGGGAGATTGGCCCTTTGTTTTCCACTCTTCCGTTGTCGGGCTTAGGCAGCATTTCCAGGGCTAACAGACTCCTCAAGTCCCCCATATGCTCAACTCTCTTATGAAAATTATTGTTTTCTGCCATGTCCATTGCAAGCCCGGGCAGTGGTTCTCAGTGTGTGAGTTGAAGTTTCTGGAACTCTTCTGGGATTTTTCAGGAAATCAATGAAGTAAAAACGGTTTCATGTTTGGATTTTTAAATTTTATTTATTTGTTTATTTTTGTACAGTGTCTCATGTAGCCCAGGCTGACTTCAAACTTTCTATGTCGCTGAGGATGATGTTGAACTCCTCGTCCTCTTGCCTGGAGTGCTGATCACAGGCTGGTATCATTTTACACAACAAAAACTACTCTTCGCCACTTCCCTGTCTCCTTTTTATTCTCTTGAATACACAGTGGAATTTTCCAGAGCCATGACTGGTAGAACTGTAACTCATTGAATGTGGAAGCAGATCGGACAATCCAGCCACATTCTGTCTAGAAACTTCCTAAACTATAATTCCAGTCTCCTTACTGAATTGTTTAATTTTTTAAATTAATCATAAAACTGGACCACTTTTGTTCATGTGTAACAAGCATGTATTTTAAATAAAACCAATAAATACATATTTTAATTTTTCATAATTTTAATTTCTAAGAAATTACATTTTATAGCTGTAACTTACAAAAAATGTCTAGAGCCCTCCATAATGTTTAAGATTAACATAAAAGGATTCTGACACTAAAGTAGTTGAGGAATGCCAGCTCAGGATTGTTTAAGACTTGCTGGAATACATGCAAATTACCTCAAAGCCGTCCATCCTGTGTTCTCATTTTATTTCCGTTGCTGTGATAAAATACCCTGCCCTCCCCCAAAATCATCTAGGGAAGAAAGTTGAATTTTAACTCATGGTTCCAGGTTGTTGTTCTTGCCCACCAGGAAATCATGAGCTGGAGAAAGCTGGCCATGCTACATCCATGGTCAAGAGCAAGCGGAAATCCACACATGCATTTTCATTGGCTTACTCGGCTCAATTTCTCCAGTTCACCATAGTGCAGGCCACCTGTCCTAGGGAATGGTGCTGCCTACCCTGAGCTGGGCCTTAACTTTTATTAGGACAACCTCCCAAAGACATGCCCACAGGCGAACCCACTGTAGCCTAGTGGTTCTTGGTTGTATCAGGTTAACAAGCAAAGCCGACCTTCACATTCAGCTCTCCACAAACATCCTGTGTTTACTTCCTCTTGTTGACCATCCTCACTATCAGAACAGCAGTGTGAGGGGGGCTGAGTTAACACCAGCTCAAATTTCTTCTTGAATAGTTGCTATGTTCGTGACCCTAAGCAACATCTTTTGCCACCTAAATATCTCAGATATCACATCGATAAAAAGGCTATCTGGTAATGATTATCCTTAAGTGTGTGACAGTGACACGTGCTTGTGATTCCAGTACTTGGGAGGCTGGAACAGGAGGATCGTGAGCTCAAGGTCATCCTGGACTACACAGTGAGACTCTGGTTCAAAACTACCCCCGAAGAAATAAATCCACGAGGATTAAAAGAGAACCTACACATTAAATATTATCCACATAGATGAACTTCTTTTTTACGATGACCTAATCATAAAATTGAAAAAGGAAAGTGAATATTAGCTTATTTAACTTCCTTGAAAAGAGATGCCCTAAAGCTTAGTTCATGTGTGCCTTAAAGGTACAGTAGCTAAGAGATCATTTCGTCTTGGTCCCTTGAGCAAGTGAAGTGAAGTGTGCTGACTTCTCGTAGTTTATTGTCAAACCTTGCTTCCCTAAATTGAATACTCCCCTGCCACACACACACACACACACACACACACACACACACACACACACACTGAACGAGGTGGCCGTCGGGTAGTAGAATCAAAGGAAGCTGTTTCGTCATGGTGACCACACCCAGGACTACAGCAAGAACGGCCTGTGGTGGTTTCTATCTAGTCTGCACATATGATACTTTGAAACCCACTCTTACTCCTTGCAAGTCCTGCCTAATAGCAGGTGCCGATGGAAGGTCATGTTGTAGGTCTGCTGCCAGGAGAAAGGAGAAGTTTGAAGGACAGCCATCTCCCTTTTCTTTTCTCGACATTGAGTTTGATCCAAATGCCCACTAAACAGATTTCTTTTCTAAAAGTCAGGTGTTAATGAGCTTAATTCGATAGAACCTAATGAATGGGTTGTGGAAAGTGGAAAATAAGAGTCTTTATTTTTTGGAAATGGTCTCACTGTGTAGCCACAACCTGGCCTCGAAGTCACTTGGAAGCCTGTCCTGGTATTAAACTAGTTGTCCTTCTGCCCCAGTCTCCCAAGAGAACTGCAGACCTATTAGGTCAATTTCTGTCCTAGTACAGAAACATTCTGAGGATCCGTTCCTTCTGCTTCTTGGCCAGCAGACTGCCCGTGCCATTTGCCCCCATTTACATCGGCTTTTGTGATATCAGCTCCCACTTCTGTCAAAGACTTAAGTTACCTTCCAACTTCAGAGGCTGAGCTGGGTAAAACTAGGGAGGATCTACAAGCGTATCTGAACTCCACACAGACGTTCTGCGTCTATGCTAGAAAAGACTTATCTGTAGGTCCCGTACTTCTGACAAAAGATTTACTAGATAAATTGCTGACAGCCCTATGTGGGGCCAGGGGTTATTTGCTATCCCCAGATTCTGTCACTTATCTGTGGCCCAGGTCACACATCCCATCAATCAATCCTCTCCCGGGCCAAGGGGAAGGTTGTTATCTTCTTATGGATGTGGGCGGATCCCCCAATGGAGCCTTGCCCACCTCTTGGAGGAGTTTGGTGATCTTCCAGAGCTGGTAAGCTGTCAATATTTTTATGCTTTAGAATTCTGTAGCCCTCATCTAGATTCAGCTAGAGGGCGGTACACGTTTTGTGACTGATTTCCCAAGTCACTCACTGACCCTCTTCCAGCAACAGCAGTGACTCCCTACTTAGACAGTAATAGAAGCTACCAGAGTGGACAACTGACACCAATTCAAGTTTCCTTTATCCAGATCTCTCCAGTATTCAAGACTGACACCGCAGAGTCAAGGATTCTATCCCCCATCCTAGAATCAGTGTAGCCTAGCACTGTGGTCCAGAGGAATCCTCATCTCTGCTGGATGGCTTTGATTCCAAACCTGAAGAGGTCCCTGTCTCTTACTGTATGTTTTCAACACTTTCACTTATTTAGGTGTGTGTGTGTGTGTGTGTGTGTGTGTGTGTGCGCACGCATGTGCGCGTGTGCTCGTGTTCCCATGGGCTCATGTGTTCCAGGGCATGCACACAGAGGTCAGGGGATGACTTATAGAAGTTGTTCCTTTCCTTCCACTATGTGGGTCCCAGGGATTGAACAGGTTATCAGTGTTGGTGGCTAAGTGACTTTATCTGCTGAGCTCCCCGAGGAGAGCACTCCCAGATTATGCCTTTCCTGCCTCTGTAGCCATTCCCTCACTGTTTATTATGATGAGCTTGAGTAATTATAGTGCCTGCCTGCCCTGTTCGCCCTTCTAGACTTCATGAATTCAGGTTCCCTTGGGGGCTCAGTGATTAACCATTGCCTCGCAGCTCATACCTAGGTTTGATTCTTGGCAACGTAGACACACACACACACACACACACACACACACACACACACACACTCCTTCTGGATCCTGAGTACCCACATGATAGGGATTTGATAAATATTTATTAGATGAATAAATCAACAAGAATAAACCCGGGAGAGTTATTAGCACAGGCTGTGCCAGCTGGTAAGTGCAGATGTAGTTTTATAATGCCATGCACTTTCAATAGCTGTATCACATTTGTGACAGCTAGACAGTTTCTCCCTTCTGTGTGACATGCAGATATCAGACAGCTGCAGGAGTGGGTGGCTAGCTATCTATTCCTTACCTCAGTCTCTCCTTCCCCGTGACCCACCCAAGATAGATACACCAGCAAAACACATGCATGTGCACACGTGCACACACACACACACACACACACACACACACGTTGGGGACTGCGGACCCCCAGACCCTGAATTTCCTGTAAACAACTTGTGCTTGTTCTGAGCACGAGACAGGGGAGTGGTTTCTGGTGGGCTAGCAGCTGAAAACCCCCGAGAGTTGGGGCGTGGCCATTTAGTCAAGCAGACCCTATATAAGCTGCCCTGGAACACAATAAAGTTAGCATTCTTGATTCAAGGGGACATTCTTGGCATCCTTGTTTCAAGAGTGATTTCTCTCTCTCTCTCTCTCTCTCTCTCTCTCTCTCTCTGTGTGTGTGTGTATGTGTGTGTGTGTGTGTAGCACAATGCCTGCTCTACGTGCTACATGCTACGGTATGGTCTGCGAGCCAGGCAAGGACCTGGAGATTCACACACACACACACACACACACACACACACACACACACACAGAACACACCTCTTGGAGCAATTCTCCAACCACATCCATATATTACTACTTAAATTTTCACTTACATCTAGAGTTTGTTTCCTTTTTAATTTTTTATTTATGTGTATATGGATATTTTCCCTGTATGTATGTCTGTGCACCATTTATGTGTATTGCCTGCAAAGGCCAGAGAGGCCATTGGATCCTCTGTGGGTGCTGGGAATCAAATCCATGTCCTCTGGAAGAGTGTTCTTATCCACTGAGCTATCTCAGTCCTTAGAATTTGTTTTCTAAAAAGATCCTATGATTTTTAGAGGAAAAGAAAGTGGCCAACGGAAGCGACAAGAAACGTACAGGCTGCTGAGAGGGTCACTCAGTGTGTCCGATGGGGAAGGGAACATGACAGAAAGCCCAGCTGTTTGTGAACCGTCTGCGGAAAATCCTTTTGTACACTGTGAAGATTGGTTGCTGTGATTGGGTTACCATACAGGCTGACTGACCAGTAGCTGAACAAGGTAAGGTTAGGTGGGAGAGTCAAACTGAGAGTGAGGGGGTGAGGAACGGTGGAGCCAGAGTTGCCCCCAGATGCAGAGGAGCAAGATGAGAACGCTGGACTGAGAAAAGGTACGGAGCCACGTGGCTAAACATAGGTAAGAATTACAGGTTAATTTAAGTAAGTGTAAGAGTTAGTTAGTAACAAGTCTGAGCTATCAGCCATGCATTTGTAAATAATATTAAGCCTCTGTGTGATTTATTTGGGACCAGGCAGTCAGGACAAAAACCTCCATTTACAGAACTAGGTGGAGAGGCCATCTAGATTCTTCAATGTTCTCAAGCTGGGACTCAAGGGGGTCCCAAATGGCTGGATTCTGAGATAGGGTTTAATCCGGTCACACTTCCCTGAAGCCAATGCTCCCTTACTCTCTAGCCTCACAGTTACTGGCACATCATAGCAAGAGCTTGTCTGTGAATCTGCAGCAGACTCCCGGGCACCAGGCCTGTTGGAAGGAAAGGTTAAGTTCAGCAAGATGCCGTTTAAGTTATGCCCACCTGCAGCCGTCTCTGTCCTCGTCCTCACAGCTAATTCTGGGATCCTTGCTGCTACAGGGGGAGACACCCTGCTAGGCATCTGTAAATAGATTCCCCAGGTGCCTGGCGTCTAGGAGAATGGCAGGTGCCAATCTCATTTCCCGCTATGGAAGTTACAGACCAGACTGTCATACTCCTGCCAGCCGCGTCAAGAGGAGTACTGGTGGCTTCTCTGCTCCCACCCACGTCATAGGCACACTTTAACTAAATGTGCACCCCCTCCTCAGAGTTACAGGTTCCCACCCCAGAATTCCCTCGTCTCTGCTGCCCAGGAGTCAGACACGATCTGAGCTCATGCAAGTGTCTCCTTTCCTCTGAGACTTTAAGAAGGGGCCCTCACTCTGCCACATGGGTTTCAACTCTCATCAGAGTCCCCATCATACTGCTGTTGTATGGATATCCATGGAGTTAATAAATCATCTAATAAATCTCTGAGGACAGTCTGCCTCGGTGTCTCTATTGAACCCTAAGCCTGAGACCCTTCACAGACCTCAAAGAGAAAGGTTTTGTGGTAGATGTAAATCTGAGTCCTGTGTGCCCCAGTGTGGCATAAAAACACATAGATGGTTCTATGACCAATTGGGGTCACATAGGTCTTAGGTAGCACCCCACTATTTCCCTGACTCACACTAGCAGTGGATTGGATTCTTGGGCAAATCAGTAAACAGGGACTAAGTAGGAAGATGGTAACTAAATGACAGATGAGGTGACAACAGACCCTTGGGGACCAGATGCTTCATCTTTCAATATTGCTATCACACAAATTGAATGTATCTCTTTGATATATATTAAGTAATTTTACTTGTTGCCAGTTAGGGTGATAGAGTCTGTATATAGAAAGAAAAACAGTGATTTTTTTTTTTACATAGGCTGTTTTGAGTGCTGAAGTTTGAAGTCATTAAATAAACCTTTATTTCAGAATATTAATTTCCTTCATTAATATGTGTCATTAACATGTAGTACACACTCAAAGTATGCATTTTATCAATCAAATCCCTAGTCTGGTTGTACCGATATTAAAAAGCACTTTTTAAAGATTTCCTTTCTTTTTTTGTGTGTGTGTGTTTGTGTGTGTGTGTGTGTGTGTGTGTGTGTGTGTGTAGCTCTTGTCTGCACATATATATGTGTGCCTAAAGAGTCAGAAGAGGACATTGGATCTCATGGAATAGAGTCACAGACAGTTGTAAGTTTCCAGATGGGTTCTGGGAATGAAACCCAAGTCCTCTACACGAGCAATGAGTGTCCTTAACCACTGAGCAATCTCTCTAGTCCTGGAAAAACAATTCTTAATGGTAAATATACATGGGTCTCAGTGACCTAGTGGGAGAATATGGGTGTCTTACTGAAAAGAAAAGGAGTTTGCGAAAAGCCTGGCGAGATAGCTCAGTGGGAAGAAGTGCTTGCCATGAATTGATGAGAACGTAAAGTTGCATCCCCAGAACTCACATATTAAACCAAATGTGCATAGTACCAGCATCTGTCACCCAAGTGCTCCTACAGGGAAGTGGGAAGCGGAGACAGGAGAAGCCACAGAAACGTGAGAGCCGGTTAGTCCGGTGTGTGCAGTGTGGAAAAGAGCAGGAACTCTATCACAAACAAAGAGGAAGACGAGGCGAGGAAGGACACCTGAAATAGTCTCTCACCTTTGTCCACACAGAAACACAACTCTCACCTATAGGACTACAGTATTTGTATTTTAATAAATAAAACTCGCCTGAAGATCAGAGCGTAAACCAGTCACACTGGTCAGCTGTACAGACCAGGCAGTGGTGGCACACACCTTTAATCCTAGCATCCGCGCTAGTTAGCCATAGAGGCTGGGTGGTGGTGGTGCAGACCTTTAATCCCAGCACTAGAGAGGAGTATGAGATGAAAGGAGACAGCTCTCAGTCCTGGTCTGAGGATTCGTGGAGGCAGAATCGCCATTTCGGTCTGAGGTAGAGGTAAGAGCCAGTGGCTGGAGGCTTTGCTTTTCTCATCTTCAGTTTGAACCACACAATCTGTCTCTGGGTTTTTATTATTCATGCTACATTCACCAAAAAGGAGATAAGAGATAGTTTATCCTGGAGCCAGATATGACTGACCATGGCCAGGGACATATTTCAACATGTTTCATGAACTTTTTATATTAACAGAACAACAACAACAACAAAAAGTCACAATTCATCGGTGTATGAGTCTGCTGGCTCGGCAGTGTCCCCTCCTCCCTCATCTTTCACGCTAATTCTCATTCAGCCGATTCCAGGCATCTTGGCCTTGACTTCGAGGCCCGGCACTCCAGGTCACTCTGTGTTTATGTCTCTACAACTGCTCTTTTGGAGTAGCTTATATGAGCAGCGCCTCATTGATCAACTGGCTGGAACTTCCTCAGCATCTCTGTCAAAATTCAGCCTGAGACGTGCTGGAGATTCCTATGAATGCCACTTGCTGAGGATGCAAGAAGCAAGATCTGATAGTTTGAAGGTTTGGGCAAGGGGGCAGAAGAGATGGTTCAGTGGTAAGAGTATTTGCCTTTCTAGAATTTGAGTTCCAGCAACCGCCACATCAGGTGCTTGTGACCACCCAGATCTAAGTAGATCTGATGCCTCTGATCCCTGAGGGTGTCTGCACATGTGCACACACACACACACACACACACACACACACACACACACACACGTGTGCACGCACGCGCGCACGCACAAATCGAAAATTAAATATAAATCTTTAAAAAGTTTGGGCAAACACATATGCCTATATGACCAACACCTCAAAGATGGAGCATGTCCATCACTGCCCTTTGAAAGTAATGCCTGCCCTCACTGCTCCACTCATCCACTGGTCCGGTTTCTTTCACCATAGGCTATGCTGGTCTGTCTTGAAGCTTCATACAAATGGGTTCACATGGATAATAAATGCTCCTTTTGCATTGTTTCCTTGCTTTAGCAAGTTACTTAGATTTATTCATGCTTGGGGCATTCCAAGAGTTCATTCCATTTAAAGCAGTTTTCTTTGTATTTTATTAAATGTCAGAATTTCTTTATCCATTTGCTCTTAGGGAGGCATTAAACTGAGTTCTATTTGTTACAGTAACATTCTTTTTTAAAACCAATGAAAAACAAATATGCAAATTGTTCTTCTGTGAATGCAACTGTTCTCACAGGCCCTGTGCACTGGGAGGAAAATTATAAAGGTCATGCAGTTTGTTGGCATTCTCTCATTTTTTATTTTTAAATGGCACTTCTAAGAAGTAGGAGAGACCATCTTTAATAAAATATCTGAATTGTAGAGAGTTTCTAAAAAGTAAACTGACATTATTCCAAACCATACCTTTGGTAAGTCCCAGAGGACCACAGACCTTCCTTTCAATCTGAAGACTCTATCCACTGGAGTCTTCTAGCGTCTGTCCAGTTCTCCACCTCAGGACCCACCAGCGTTGCAAGCCACTGCACCAGGAAACCCTTACCTCCACTTCTTATGTGCAGATTCTCTGGGGGAGCACAGTCCTGCTGGCAGAGGATGGAGATGGTTGTTTCACTTGAAGGGACACGCAGCAGCTATGGAAGGAAGGAGTGCATCCTCCCCAGAGCACAACACAGTCTCTCTGTTGGGTTTCAGCTTGACACCTAAGACAGGCATCCGTCACCTGCAGCACGTGGCACATATATTACACCCCAAGTCCCAGGTCTCTAACTAGCTCCATTTCTTGAAACAACATTTTGTGTCCCCTTGCACCACTGCAGGGAGCCTGTGCTTCTGTGTCTGGACTTTGCAGGGCTCCTCTGTTCCACCTTGGGTGTGGAAGTGGCTTCATTCATTCTTATATTGAAATGTGATTTTTAGAAGAACTTGTAATGAAGTTGTTCTGAATACACCCATAGGAGTCTTTTTGACTGCTTTCCGTTCTTTGGGGGTGTAAGGTCATATTATTGGATTGTGCTTAATGTTATTAAAAATCAGCTGGGTGGTAGTGATGCATGCCTTTAATCGCAGCACTAGGGAGGCAGAGGCAGGGGGATCTCTGTGAGTTTGAAGCCAGCTTGATCTACAAAGCTTGTTCCAGGAAAGTCAGGGCTACACAGAGAAACCCTGTCTTGGAAAAAAAAATCAAACCATTTTCTAGAGTGATTATACCATTTCATTAGGTACAAATCTTACTATCGCCACGACCACCACCACCACCACCACAAAACAGACTAAACAACACTTTTTCTTAGACCTCACAATTTTTATGGGTCTGGATCCCTTTCAAGGCTCCAGTGAAGGCAATAGTTTAGATTGAGTTCTCACTTGGCAGCTCAACTGGGGCAAGGACCCACTTCCAAAGTCAGGCAGTTGGCAGAATTCATATTCTGAGGTCGTATGACCCAGGGCTTCAGTTTCATGCTGGATGTCAGGAGAGTTTGACCCCTGCTCCTAGAAGCTGCTTGTAAATAAGAAGTAATTTCTGAGGGGCCTGTGAGATGTCTCTGCAGGTATTTGCTCCTACTGCACAAGCAGAGGTCCTGACTTTGATCTGCAGAACCGAGACGGAAAGAGAGAACCAATTTCTAAGAGTTGTCCTCTGACCACCGCACGTGCCTTGGTGTACACACACACATACACACATGCACACACACATACATGCAATACTAATAATAAATTCAAAAGGAAAGTCAGTGCTGTAAAACAATTGCTTTGTTCCTAAACCTCAGGGGTATATCTCTTATAATATTTTACCAAAGACCTTCCCATAGCACTTATCCACAGCAGATACCTCTGACATCCTCAGAGCTTCTGAGTTATATAGATCAAGTGTCTGGGCAGCTTACACAGCAGCCTGCACCTGATCAAGTGACGTCTCTGACTCTGGTATCCATTTGCACCCAGAAGCTTTCTAAGCCACACGATGACTTGGAGTTTCCCTTCCCAAGACAGAGTGTGCCTGTTGTATAGACTTAGGCTACAGGAAATCAGAGACTGATTAAAAGTGTACAGTATTGGTAGATAAATGCTTTCACAGCGCGTTTTACAGTGACAAGCTCTTGCTCTGAGATGCCACTTATTCTTGGAAAGTGTACAACCCCATCAACAGACTTCAGCCCACTCCACAACCCTTCTGCTTGGACCTGTCCTATTCCAGCATCATGGCCACCACCTAGACCGCCTTCTTCTAACACTGCATCCAATTGGCTGCAGTGGGAAGCCTTAGCAGTCACAATATTACTGTGAGTTCTGCTTACTACTCAGAGTGCATAGACCTTTATTGTCGTAGGATTACTGAGTAACTCAGCTCCAGTATCCCATCCTGGTTCTCAAAACAAATCACTGGGCAATCTTGTCATCAAGAAGGCATCACTGAGCATCCTAAGGGTTAGTGGGACTCACCTTGAGCCCCACTCATCTTGGCTTGGGACTCATCTTGGCTTGCAATCCCTAAAAACTAGAGTTTGAGGGGATAGAAAGATGGCTTGGCAGTTAAGAGCTCTGGTTGCTTTTATTTTTCTTTCTTTTTTTGTTTTGTTTTTTGAGACAGGGTTTCTCTGTAGGAGAAGGAGGGCCTGCTTGTTCATCCAGGCCGCCCAGCTAGCTTAGCCCCGAAATAATCACACAGAAACTATATTAATTAAAACACTGTTTGGCCCATTAGCTCTAACTTCTTATTGGCTAACTCTTACATCTTAATTTAACCCATTTTTACTAATTTGTGTATCGCCACATAGCAGTGGCCCAGCGTATGTCTCTGGCAGCTCCATGGTGTCTCTCTGACTTCGCCCCTTTTCCTCCCAGCATCCAGTTCCGTCTTTCCCACCTACCTAAGTTCTGCCCTATCAACAGGCCAAGGCAGTTTCTTTATTCATTAACCAAGAATAAGCAACACACAGACAGAAAGACCTCCTACACCATTTCTCTGTGACTTTGGAGCCTGTCCTGGAACTAGCTCTTGTAGACCAGGCTGACCTTGAACTCACAGAGATCCGCCTGCCTCTGCCTCCCAAGTGCTGGGATTGAAGGCATGTATCATCACTGCCCAGTGCTCTGGTTGCTTTTCCAGAAGACCTGGGTTCAATTCCCACATGGCAGCTCATAAATGTCTAAACTCCAGTTTCCTGGGCTCTAGTGCCTTCTGTCACCACCAGATGTGCAAGTGGTGCGCAGATATACTACTTACAGGCAAAATACCCATACACATAAAATATATAAGTAAAATTTACATTTCTTATTCTACTGTCATGTTGGACCTTGGGCACTTCTAGAGATGGCCAAGTTTTGAGTTCAAGGTGCCTGTGTCCCTGAGGGCTTTGCTGAACAAAGCCTTCACTTAGTTCTAGCATTCCTTTCACTAGACATTTACTTGAAGCAAAAGTGATCTTTTGTTTTAATACATTGACATTTTAGGTTCTGTTACTGTCCGCTAACATCATTGTGGTTAATTTCTACACTACTGAAATACATTACCCATGTGTCTTTAGACCATACTCCAAATATATTATTTTTTCTTTCCATTCACCTTGCCTGGAACAGACCAAAGAAACAAGCTCCTATATTACAACCCAAGTCAATGAACAAAGCCACTGAGCCACAAGAAGAAACTATTTCGAATTGCGAGGATTTTCACTCAAAAAAAAAAAAGTAATGCTTGAATGTGTCTCCCAAATTTCATATGCTGTAAATATTACCCTTAGTATGACAATGTTCAACAATGGGATTTTGAAGAGATTCTAATAGCTCGTATTCATTAGAAAAGGGGGATGTACCAGTTTTAACTGGCAACCATTCTGTGAACTGAAACAATGAATAAAAAGAAATGTATAGATGATCAAATTATTAAGAATGTAAGATAAAATAGAGGAAACTACAGAACATTTTTCTTCCTATAACACAAAAGGATGGATCTAAAACAATAAGAATGTTTTTCTAAGCCAGGAAAGCTCTCAGTGTGATCCATCTGTAAACCCTATTTCTAGTTGTCTGGGTCAGGTCCCACCGCACATTGGGACTGGTGAGGAAAACCACATGTAAATGAGACGACTGTCTCCCCTTCTTTATGGTAGGGCTGGTGGTGCTGTGGGGAGAACTGGCAGAGGTTTTGTGCGCTCAAGGATGGCTGCTGTTAAAAGTCAGTAAGAAAAGGGATGTGTCTTCAGTCCCAGCGCTTCTCAGGGGCTACATATACGTGTAACTCATGATTTGGTTATAGAAACTGTCAATCGACCCACTCAACTGTTGTCTTGGTCTGTCATAACGCTAGGGCAAATATCGAAGTGTCAGTTCAGCATTATTGTTTTGGGAATAAAGTTTCCAGCATATGAACTCTGAGGGCTACAATGAAATGACAGCAACCGTTTTTCTTCATAGGATAAAACTTGGAAGTGGAGCCGTTTCTTTCTGAGTTTGTAACTTCATCAGCTTGAATTGTAGTCATCCATCAGCTTGCTGCTTTGGTCATCCTTCCTGGCCCTTGCCACTGGCAGAGAAGAGCTGAGCATGCAATGAGGGTGTTACACTGTGAGGCCAATACAAACATTATGATAAAGACTTTCTTCTTTTTTTAAGCCTGCCTGTCAGCTTTATCCCTCTGTGCCCTTGAGACATGAGTTAGAGCCTATGTGACAACTAGATATGTTTGGATGTTTAATTTCTTCCCTATAAGCTTGGAGAAATGTTTACCCTCTTTATTAGAGAGGTTAGAGTCCTGCCAACATTACTTCCCCAAATGTTATGAGCTGAGCTATATTTCCTCCAAATTCATAACGCTAGCATCCCAACTTCTTTTGTACCTCAGAATGTGATTGCATTTGGGGATAAAGCCTTTAATGAAGTTAAAACGAGGTCATTCATTTACATATTTTAAAATTCTATACCATGTGTCAAGGCCAGGCCAGGCATGGGAATACACCTATCTGTCTGTTCAGCATAGCTGTGGATCTACCCTCATCAATTGGCTGGCTCTGTGCACATTTGAGTTATGGAGTTACATGGCACCTCAGGCTACAAACATCATAGCATTATTTAATGCTCTGATGTCACATCTTGAAATCCTTAGACTGACAGCCCTTAGATAGGGGTTCTATCTTTTTCATTTTCATTTTCTCTGGAGCCCTGGAATGACATAATTGGTAAAGCTGGCGAAAACTGCACTTTGGAAGGAGAACCAATCATATTCTCTCTTCAAAAGTGTGTGAATTGGTGGCAGGAGAGGGGAAGTCGAAGAAGGGGAACGATTCGCCATGGTGATGGGCAGGGGTCCCACTGGCTGAGCACCCTCTACCATTGCAGAATCCATGACTATGCAGCAAGGGTTCTTCTTGCTTGGTTTTTGTTTTGCTTTGTTTTATTCCCATCGCTTTGCCCTATCCCAGCTCATCATTAACCTTTAGTGACAGAGATAATCCCGGCAGGTCTCTGTGTGGAACCTGACAGTATCTCAGCAGTACACATAAGGGAAGTGACTCATGGGCTTGAATCCACCATCAGAGAGCTTAAGTCCTTCAAAGGTCAGTTGTTTCCCAGACTCTCCGCAAATGGACTCTTCATTCTTTTAAATCTCCCAATTGTTATGAGCTGGTACTTTTAGAAAGTGAAATAAAACCAAATTGTTAAGCTGGGCATAATTCCAGCACTTGGGAGGCTGAGGCAGGAGGATTGCCAGGAATTTGAGACCAGACTGGGCTACATAGTGAATTCCAGGACAGCTCTGGCTACAGCATGAGATCTTGTCTCAGAAAATCGCAAAGAATTGCCAGGAAAATAAATGAAAATAAACAATAAAGACACACTAAATATAAACTTAGATTTTTTCAGATTAACCAGAAATAAAATTATATTTCAATAAATATAACTAGGGCAAACATACAATGGGAAGAAAAGAATGATAAAAAGAACATTATTTACTATGTCTAACAGATAAGTGCAGATTACATGAGAAGTGAATTGTACTCCTTGTTTGTCAAATGAGAATCTTTAGCTACATTTAGGTGCTTGGATTGATGCCCTGCTGCTTGAAAGACAGTGCATCGCTAAATTGTTTCTGTATTTTATTTGAATAATGCTACCAATACTACAGAAACATTTCAAAGGTTTGAAGGGAATCACAGAAGACATTTCAGACAATAAACTTAAAAAGTTTCTTCTTAAGTATATGGGTGTTTTGTCTGCATGTATTTTTATGTATGTACCATGTGCATGCCTGGTGCCTGCAGAGGCCAGACAAGGACACTGGATCCCTAGAGCTGGAGTTATAGATGGTTGGGAGCCACCACATGGGTGCTGGGACTTGAAACTGGGTCCTTGGCAAGGGCAGCAGTGCCCTTAATACTCTCGCCAGCCCCTGGGCAGTAAACTTCAATTCACAAGGAAGGAAGCAATGCTTTATTTTTAAAATTTATCCTTAATCTCTTATTGGCATCCTGTTTCCAAAACTGGCTCACAGAATTAAAGCTACATTCCAGTTGTTTTTCAGTGAAAGAAATGAATTCTGGCTGGGCCTGGTGGTACTCAGTTTAAATCCCAACATTCGAAACTCCGAGGCATTGGATCTCTGAGTTTGAAGTCCAGCCCATTTCGGATTCATGAATTTTTGTGTGTGAAGCTTATTTTGGTAGAAAGTAAATATTCAAAACGGTTATCAAATTCATAACCAATATCTTTGTATTTTAGATACATAATTGTTACTCAAGTTTGATGGCTTTATTGTGATTGCCAAGAGGAACAAGTTAGGAACATGCGAGAGACTGGCTTTATTTTATTTTGCAGTACTGGGGATTGAAGCTGACCCTCACACACACTAGGGAGTGCTCTGAGTTGCACCCCAGCCTGGCCTCATCCTTTTTTACTTTTTTTATTTTGAGACATGGTCTCACCAAGTTGTCTGGGTTGATTGTAAACTCACTTTGAGCCCTTCAGGCCTTGAATTTGGAATCCTTCTGTCTCAGCCTCCTACTAAATAAATGAGAGACTCCAGTTCTAAGCCAAGTCAGTGTGAACACCCTTAGGGCTTTAATCTTTGGAATCATTTCTGTGACTATTGTGTAATCTATTACTACTGTTACTAACACATTACAGATGTGTGTCTTTTACTGACAAAGCAACACAAGTCTTATTTTTCTTTTTACCTCTAAGAACCAAAATAAATGACAAAATTTTTACTTCCTTCATTTAGCTGTGACTTTCAAAAGTCAGGCTCAATTAAAAATGAAAAGGACTTTTAAAATAATAGTAAATATTTACCTTTTTTACAGATTCCTTCTTATTCTGAGTAGCAAGAGACAACCGAACTTTACAATTTCACTCATTGTCATACAGTCCTCTGGCATGCGACAAAAACAGCCATCTCACCCTACAACATCCCACACAAGCTGGAGAGAATTGCTCTGTATTCTGTTTAATGAAGTGTTCAATCATCACGTTCCTGGATGTTTCCATGTGTCAAACTACCACAAACACTTCGATGTTTTTTTTCAAATTCTTTCCCCACCTCCATCTCTAGTTCTCCACCCCTTCACCTTCCCCACCCCCGCTCCTCTCCCACTGAGCTATATCCCCAGCCCTGCCCCATTTATTTTTTTGAGACAGGGTTTCACATTCACAGTAAAGATACCCATTTTTTTTTGTTACTTGAGGAATCACATTTGCAATTGTATTGAAGAAGTAGGTTCAAATAAAACAAGTCTTAACTACTCTTGAAGAGAGTGAATTCTCCAACCTTTCCCTGGCTGTCATGTGATCAGTGCCCAGCACTCTACTAGATACTAAGGCTGCAATGATGTCTGAAATTTGTTCGTGCACGTGTGTGAATTTGTGTGGTGTCGTGTTGTATTCCTGCGTATTGAAATCAGGGCTCCTCATGCTAGGCGAGCGCTCTACCATCAGATTATTTTCACTTTTTATTACAAGACAAAGTCTTACTAAGTTGCCCAGGTCGAAGTTCAACTCTATAGCCAAGGTAGATCTTAAACTTGTGATTTTCTTGTCTCAGCCTCAAAGCATTACGAGCCTGGAATTATGGGCCTGTATTACCAGGTCAGGTCTGTATGTTGAAAGGGGCGTATGAGAGAAATATTAGTCACGATGACTCCTGACCAAATAGCTGACTATCAGCATACTCGAGACCAGAACCAGCAGGTGACCAATCATCAGCTCTGTTATGTGTCTGAAGATCCAGGTTCTTTTGTCATTCTGCCTTACCCCAAAAGTTGCTTGCCACAAATCACCATAGTGACATCAACCGGCAAGTGCCCTAATTCTCCTGCTACTGGGTCACTTCTGCATATCATCTGATCAGGCTCCCTGCAGTCTATCCCTCATCGCCCCCAGACCCAGACTTCATGCAGGCTGAGCTCTTGCCTAAATCTGGGACAAGGTGACCACAACTGCTCTCTTAATTCCATTCATTCTCCGGGGCGGCATTTGGGCCCGGGCTCTCCCTCCTGACAAACATTTGGCCCTGTAAAAAGGCAGGAGGGACAGCTGAAAGGGGGCCCGTGTCTGCTGAGCCTTCACACATCCTTGCTCAGCTGCTCCAAGATGGTTTACACTAGAACAACTGCATTTTGAATCACCAGCACTTCAGGCAGGCAGTTGTGTGACAACCATCCATAAGGGCTGCCAGAGAGAGAAAATTATGCTGATCGACGCGTGAAAAAGTAAACAGACGAGCCACAGTTGCTGAGCCAGCGTTTAGCGGCGGCGGTTCTAGTATGCGCTTTTCTGCGGTCTGTGCTTTCGCAGCACAGCGAGTCAACTATTCCTTGGGTTCAAGTGTGCTCTGCCATCCACCCATCTGCTATGTGCCGTGGGCAAATGAACTCCCCGAACTCCCTTTTCCAACATGCCAAGTGGAAGGCTGGTACTCCTGGTTGGTCGGGCTGTGTCTGAGAAATAATTATGCAAAGAGGCCAGTCCAAGCGCATTATCACAGTAAGGTGGCCTCAAATGCCAGGTCCACCTCGCAAACTGGTTTGCAAAGCTACTCTAGCCCGAAGATCCAGCCCGCTTTGGACCGTGCCTCCTATTTTCACATCAACAGACCGCGCACCATTAACTCCCTGCGCAGTGCCCATCTTCCCCAGTCCTTAACCCGGACGTCTCCCGAAGGCCAGTAATGGCTCCACCCTGGACCGCCCACCCCGCGGCCGAGCCCACCTCCGACTGGCGCGGCACGTTTGTTTTTGTTTTGCCGGCCGCGCGGGCCTGCCGAGGGGCGCGCCCTGTCCAGCGCTCGCCGAGAGGCCACGGCTCCGCCGAACGGC